AATGGGTCGTTGGTTGATTCAATGGTTTTTGGCCAGGGACCAGGATTGGGGTAAAACAGAACTGGTTGCCTGGACAATTTCCAATTAAAAATATAAAAAAAAAATGGACGACCCATTCTGACAACAAAAATTACATGCAAAAATTTGAGTGTGTGAGGTCCATTAAGCATTACCATACATGTTATGTCATTCGAGCGTGTGACTTATACAACCTGAAAATGGAACCATTCTGGCCAATGGTTTTCGGGTCAACGGTTCGACTAATCAGTTCGAACGGATGGATCGTTTTGACAATAAAAATTAAAAAATAAAAATAAAAAATGACCAAAAACCATTGAACGGGTTCAACGGTTTGACCACCTGGGTCGATAGGTCGTTGACCGATTCAACGATTTTTGGCTACAAACCGAGATTAGGATAAAACGGAATCGGTTGCCTAGATGGCTGATTAAAAAAATAAAAAACAGCCAAAAACCATTGAACATGTCAACGGGACAATGGTTCGACTGCTTAGATCAATGGGTCATTGACCGATTCAATGATTTTTGGCCAAGGACTGGGTCAACGGGTCGACGGGTTGATGGTTCCATTCCAGCCCTTGCGAAGCAGGGCCCCTCAACTCCCCCTAGGAATGGCAACGGGGCGGGTTCAGGGTGGGGAATCTAAAGGGCAAGGCAACGACGACGGCAGTCAGTGACGATGACAAAGGTTGAAGGAAGATTAAAGAACTGAAACTCTTCTTTGAGTATCTCTTCTATGTCCTCTGTCGAGACTCGAATATCTCTGTCCTCTGTTCGATGGCGACGAACGAGCGGCGATAGTCAACGACGATGGTCGGTGGTCGATGAATCAGCGACGAAGATGAACTGACGAAGGAAGAAAAACCTAGGGTTTTGTCAAAGACAAAGACAAAGACGAACTGGCAAGCCTTTTACTGTTTAAGTGTTTTTTAAGTTTTAATATTTTAAAAGACAAACAATAATTATTATAATATATAATATATATAATTATATTATATAATATAATATAATATTATATTATATATAATATATAATTATATATTAATCGAGGACGGGTTTGCATTTCCCGTTCCCGTCCCCGTTCCCATCCCCGTCCCCGTCCCCGATCGGATAGCCCCATTCCCGACCCCAACCCCACCAAGGTACCCCCATCCCCGACAGGCCCTTTCCCGTCGAGGACGGGGAAAATTGCCATCCCTAACACCCCCCCCCTTGGCTGTGACTTTTTCTGATACCAGTTGATTGGTTAGGTTATGGGTTTTTCTATCATCATTTCTTTTTGGTAGTGTAGTACAGTCACAATTTGGTAGTGTAGCCATTTCATTGTGGTCATTTCTTTTTTTGAAAACTATCATGCCACGCTATATGTAAAGTGTACAATTTGAATTGGCTCAAGTTAATGTTATTTTACACTGTTTTGGGTTTGGGCTTCAGGACAAGCTCAATCGAATTTTGGCAAAAGCCTAACTTGAGCCTGCTGAATATGCACCCTAAAGTTATGAATTAACTTTGGCTATTGGGGGCCAATAACCTATACAGCGGTTGAGAGCGCTGGACATGTTCACCCAATTCATACTCATGCCTATGTTTATGGTTCCAGAAATAGTGACAATTACTATTTTACCCCACTACTCTATTGTAACATAGCATTTTCAAAAATGTTCTAAACAACCCCTAACAGCCAAAATTTTTCTACCATGCTAACAATGTATGCCGCTTTCAAGAAATGTTAAAATGACGTTTTCACGGGAGGTGAATTTTCCAATTTTCTGAATATTGTGTTTTTTGAGCATAATTTTTTTCAAAAAATGACTAACCGAGAGTTTTGACTGTTAAAGTCAAAACGGTGACTTGGTAGTGCTATGAACGCAGCTATTATCTTTTAGTATTAACTAAGGTTATGTTTGGTTTGAAAGAAAAAGAAGGAAAAGGTAGAAAAACCTATACAAGATTTGTAAAAATTTCTTATCTTTCCCTTCTTTTCTTTACTTTTTCCTTCAAACCAAACACCTTATAAGAAAAAAAGAGAAAAAACTAATATACATTGACATGTTCATGCGAATGTTATGAACGAACGCAAGTTAAAAACAAAACCATTCACATGGTTCAACACCCTTTAACTCTTTTTTCTGTTTTACCGATTCCCATTTCCTAATTGAGAATAAATCTCTCTCTTCTATGTAGCATGGGTTGTGCACGCGTAAATTGCAAAATAGAAACGGTTCTTTAATGAGCCAATCAATAATTTACAATTAATTGCTCAATTAGCCTCTCTAATCACACAATAATGTAGTGCTATAAGCTTCAACTAATTAATTGGAGTGACGAGTGAGGAATGAATATTCTAACACTTTGTCAATATTTGACACTGCTAACGGCTAAACTAACTATTTCCAAGGTCAAAGGTGGGCCGCCCCAAAGGCAAAACCACGTGTTAACATGTGCAGAGGACCATCCTATAAAGAGAGGAGGACAATAAGACATATTAACGGATTCAATCTCCCACGTCCATCAACATAATGAAGTTGACGTCCCTATAATATACCAAAAATATTAAAAAAAACAACACGACGTGCCTGCATGTGCTTGTGTTAATTGATTAGTGCTACGTAAGCATCTGACAAAGCCGCACCTAATTCATTCATTGAACACGTGGCAACCGCTGAATCTTCTGCCAGTCGTTGCAAACGCAAAATCTAGAAGCAAAATGGAAAAACAAATTTTCAGTTTTCAGTTTTCAGTTTTCAGTAGCCAAGATCCGTCTGTTACCCAAAGAACAGGGACAGCCCTTTATACAAACAGCCAGGCTTTTTTTCTTGCCACGTGGCATAGGTAATTTGGCTTTGAATCGCGCTAATCGAGAATAGCAAAAATGAAATTAAAAACAAAGTCAAAAAAGGTACAGAAATCTCTCTTATCGAAACATATGAATCAAATCTTGAGAGATGATGTTTGCAAAACTTACCAACTAAAATGGCAAAAATAGGCAAATAATCACGGTCCATGTGCTCCCATTTAATGTATTTCACGTTTCACCATCTCCATCAGTGGTCCTCCTCCTCCCCTCCCACTCCCAGTGGTCCAGACTCCAGACCACCCAAATGATTGTAACCGTCTGATCAGTGAGATTCCGTCTAGATAAATGGCCCATTGGGCATGAGATGTGCCAGATGGGAGTGTTACTAGACACTGTGGAGACTGGAGAGGCGATGGAAATGGAGATGGGGCCCAGTTGAAGTCTGAAATAAATAGAACAGCCCAGCAAGCAACCCTAAGAAAGAAGCTCCCTCAAATCTCAATGTGAATTTCTGAAGTCCCATCTATCTACTGTTTGGTTGCAGATGGACAGGCAATAGACAAAACCTATAAGGTGTTTTGTCGTCCACCATTGATGGGATGGGCCGACGGGAGGGATGTGGTCCAGTCCTTTCTCTTCTTCCATCTTCTCTCATAAGTCTTCCATGATTCAGTCATTCAGTGCTGCTGTTCTTGATTGACAAAGAAGTCTCGTGGACCTTTTTAGTAGCTTAGCAATTTTATTTTATTAATAGATCACAACAATTTAGGAACAGGAAAGATTACGCAGATGAGTGCGTAAGCCTTGACTCACCATTCACCATTCACAATTCCCCAATTTAGGTATATCATGGATCATGGATGGTCGTATGGGCCCCTAGTAAGATAGTAATATAATGGGCAAGCCCAAAGTCAAAATCAACTCAACTACAACCATTTGACTAGACTAGACGCGCCATCACCATGGCCCATCATGGGTGTGGAACACGGCAACCGTGTTGGCTCCCTGTCTCAGACTCATGGTTGACTTCATGTGCTCGTCTTCAGCTTCACCATTCTCTTTCATCTTTTCATATCCTTCTTTGGGAAGTCGTCAAGTCGGCAATAAAGGTTGATACATCAACTGTTTAATAGAGAGAGGGAGGGTGGAATGTTCTAAGAAATTTACCAGTTGGACTGGACATAATTAATGAAAAGAAACATGGGCCCCAGCCCAGCAAAAAGAAACAAGGGGAATTATTTGATGGTTTTGATTTGGTGGGCAAGGGCAAAGAACGATAACAGTATTCCCTTCACGAAGGGTCTGTCCACACTCCACAGTGATGTATCATGTGATAGACCTAGACCATTCTGCACACAGTCACAGTGACTAAAAGCTACGATCCAAGCAACTCTCTTATTCCCAGAAAAGATCTAAATATTAGAGAGTCTTCAATTCTCAACATCAATTGGGATTGTTTCGTTCCTTTTAAGCGTTCTGTGGTACAAACCCTTTTATGTTTTCAAGTTATTAACTTATATATTTGGTTTCAATTCACTTATGTGAAATGTTTGATGCGATGTGAACTAAGGCAGTGCGGAGTTCTGAAAGAATGGTCAGACTCAAACCTTTTAGACTAGAAGAGTTAATATATAAATACCACTTTAACCCTGAACCTGAAGGAGGCTCGCTTGATTCCCGTCTCTCTGTCTTCCCCGCTCTGTCCGGTCCGGTCCCTAGTCCATACGCAATTGTCCCTCGACATTTTATCACAAACAGTGATTGTCGGTTCTGTTTGTTAATTTGTTTTCTCATCGAGTCCTTTTTGACTTTCAATCAGAAACCACGTCTTCTGAGTGTAGACATAACAGTAGCTAGAGTCTGTGGACTCTCTTCATTACAATTATATGCTTCCACTCTTTCTCACCAGAAACTGCTCTCATCTCATCTTAGAACTCCCCACCAGTGGATCATGGCAGCTCTTCATCACAAGGTAGCCCAAATTGGTGGTGCCCACACCAAATACATGTCAACATATGATATCCGAATCCAATGGTCACCATCGTTCAATGGGGTATGGCTTGTGGCTCCCACATGATCAAATGAACACAATCTACAAACCGAAGAGAGATTATTTTAATTCAAGTTGGTTGCCTCACATATATAATATAAATATGGACACAAACAGCTGTGCTGTTATTTTTCTCGTCCAAGGAAAATCCCTTCTATAAAACGCGAGAAGACGGCCAGACCAGCTAGGATAGGAGGATTCTCTTAAACTACTTCACTAATATATATTGTGTATATCCTCCGCATTCTCCTCCTCTTTCATTGTTGATGAAAAATGAAACCTTTCCAACCCCGGAAAAGGATTGTCTCTGTCAAAAAGTTCTCATTTAATCTGCTTTGCTTTGCTATCTGCCTCTCCGTCTCCCCCATCTTCGTGTTAATGTAGCTTGAAAGAATTACACCTATTTAATGTTATTGTCACCTGTTTTTCCTATTAATTATATGCATATTCTGGATATATTTCTTTCTGAGAGAAACCCATTAGCTGTTACAACTTCAACCAATCACTCTGCCTCACTGAATCTCTCCTCAACAAAAACGATTTTTCAAGCATTTAATGGCTTTCACATCAGTTTCTCCATTTTCTCCCACTTGGGTAAGTAGGTTCACTTTGTTTTCAAGTCTCTAAACGGATATTCTTCCTCTCTCTCTCTCTCTCTCTCAAATCTCAGGTCAAAACTCATCTCTCTGGATTTGTTCCACCAAACCAATCAATCTGATTTCTTCTGCAGCTTTGCTTTGAGCAGTAATCTCTCTGCTGCCATATCCCCCACCTGCGCTTTCTTTGAAAAATCTCTACAAAATCCGTTTCCCATGGACCCAGTACATAGATACTTCTTTGAGCATGTCCAAGCTCCTCCTCCTGTCAAAAGTCTAGCAAACTCAGACTATCATCTCCACTCTCCTGGTCCGAACACAAGTATCCCCATCTTAGCCATTGCTATACTAGGAATCATGACCACAGCTTTCTTACTAGTGAGCTACTATGTCTTCGTGATCAAATGCTGCTTGAATTGGCATCGTTTCGATCTCCTGAGACGGTTTTCTATCTCACAAGCTCGAAGGCATGAAGACCCACTAATTATCTACGCTCCGGAGAACCGCGGTCTTGATGAATCGTTGATCCGTGCAATCCCAGTTTTTCAATTCAAGAGGGGAGCAGAAGGCGAAGAGAGAAGGTTCTTCGAGTGTGCAGTTTGCTTGAATGAGTTTCAGGAAGAAGAGAAGCTAAGGTTTCTACCCAATTGTGCTCACGTCTTCCATATCGACTGCATTGATATATGGCTCCAAAACAATGCCAATTGCCCTCTCTGCAGATCAAGCATTTCGACAACAGCCAGGTTTCCGCTTGATCAAATTATTGCTCCTACCCCTTCTCCCCAAGATCCACATCCATTTACAGAGAGTCTCGTGGGAGGTAATGAGGATTTCGTAGTAATAGAACTGAGAAGCGAAGAAGGTGCAGATCAAACAACCCATGGACATCAGGAAACAGCAAGTTCAGGAGAACTCTCAGCCCGACATATCAGTCCTTCCCCGAGAAAGTTAGAGCAGAGAATTCTGAACAAGAAACCAAGGAAATTCCATCATGTTTCAAGCATGGGAGATGAGTGCATTAATGTAAGAGAAAAAGACGATCAGTTCTCAATCACACCCATTAGGAGATCCTTCTCCATGGATTCTTCTGCTGATCGGCAGCTCTATCTCTGTGTCCAAGAGATCATACAGCAGAACAGATATCTCAATGAGGTAAGTCCAAGTGAAGGTTGTAGTAACAGAGTTCGTCGGTCGTTCTTCTCGTTCGGCCACAGTCGAGGATCCAGAAGTACAGTTCTTCCTCTCCACTTCGAGCCTTGAAAAGTTAAACAGAGAAAAATTGCAACTTTTCTTTTCCCTTTTTTTTTTCTTATTTTCCCCTTCTTCCTTTACAAGTTTTATTTTTGAGACATAGATTTTGGAGAAGCTACGAGGCCTTTTTTTTCTTTTTTGGTAAATAGAAGTTTCATTAAACCAATGTCATAAAGAGGGCCAGTCTGTATAGAAAATTTGGGTATAATGGGATTAGCAGCTTAAATGCGTAATAGTTTGAACCATGGGCATGATTATAAGCATCATTGCTTAAACCACTATGTGTGGATAAGACCTTTTTCTTTTTAAATTTCTACTTTTCCATCAATGAAATTCACTGTTCTCTCTCTCTCTGCAAGAGTGCAAGCTACAGAAAAAGGAAAAAGTTAGGAAGGGGATTCCTTCACCTCACCGGCTCCTTCTTTTGTCTCGACTAATAATCATTATTTTCGTGAAGGAAATAATGTATGATTAATGATTTTGGTTACATAGCTCCAGTCGTTTCCAGCCTAAAAGGAACGAGCTTCTCTTTTGGTGGGCGAGAGAAACCAAAGAATTCTCTCTCTCTCTCTCTCTCGTCTGTAGTTTAAATTCTTTTATGTAAATCAAGAAACTAATAAATAAATGAGAAAACTACATTGTGGGTTCAACCCAAGCTTACCTACATCAGAAAACCCAAAAATTCCAACCTAGAAAATGTTTAGAAAACTTGGTCAAAACATAGAATATAAAAGGACAGATAACTGTTCTGGGTTGTTGGCTGAGAGAATCCTGGGAAGATTTAATCAGGACACCCACCACCCAAACCAAAACCAAAACCAAACCAGAAGCCTTTCTCCTGTTTTTCCTTTGTCTGAAGAACTAGGTGAGTCAAAATGGAGGACAAGAGCAGAGTACAGGTTCTTTCCTGGGTAATAAGTAAATAGAACAGGGAATTGTAGTAGTACTAGTACCTTTTTATTGACTGCATATGAGAATACGGGCCTTTTCTTTTTTCTTTTTCTTTCTTTGGAGTGTGGACTTATTGAAGAGATGGGATCCAGTCCGGTTCGAGGGAGGAAAACAAAATAGAAAATATTGCAGAGAAGCCATGTGGGCAAAGGGCAATGAGGAGAACTCTGCTTTCTGCTTTCAGAGTAAGCAGGCATATGGCCATATGGGGGCTGAGTTGGTAAGACACAGCGTTCTAGAAGGAAACTTAATTTGATTTTGAGTGCAACTTCCCCAAGGCATAGACAAATGGGTTCCATGTCCGACCTGTTGGCTGCTGCAACACTGCATCTGTATATATGTATAAAAAATATAATTAGTTGAAATATTTAGGCACATGGGTCATATAGAACTAATTAACTGTACAAGTGCTGGCATCTGACATCATAAGGTGCCAGATGGAAATTTGTACAACTGAGCGCACCATAGCCGAAGGGATACCCTAGAGTAAGGAACAAGCATCCTGGTAATGAGGGTACCCGTCACCATTTTCATCTATTAGTAGCAATTATATATATATTTTTAATTAATAAATCATACATATATACAAAATATCATAATTTTTAGTGGAATTTCTTTACTTTTTTATATTAATAATATTGGGAATGCAAAATATAGAAAACTCAAATTTAACAGATGTATTAAGAGATGCATGAATACAATAAAAAAATTAAGATATGAATGGATGGGTTAGAAAAACTCGATAGAATTTTAATAGTTTATGTGAAGTATGAATTACAAGAATTCACTAAGAAAATATTGGAAAATGGTAGAAGAATGAAAATATGGCCTTGAATAAAAAAACCATTAATTTCAATGATCAATTAATTATATTATTTATTTTTAATTATTTGACATATAATATTAACAAGAAAAAGGTTGACAAAATGGCTTAGAAAGTTGAAGCTTGAAGCATGTGTCATTTGTGATATTATAGCTTATTAAAAGAATTTTGCTTTTTATTCATCTGAATACATCATATTAAGTAACAGTTATATATATATGATGCATACACATAAGATACATGTATAGATATCTGTATGTTTATATACATATAATGTATGCATGCATCCGTTTATAAGTTATAACAACTGATATTGGTTTATAATGGTCAAGCATGGATTTGTAAAAGTTTGCTAATTGAGTGTCAGTTTTTTAATAGTATTTTTTTTTTCTTTTGGTTGATCATAGGTTTGTAAAAGTGGAGTATGGTTTCAAAAGGAATGCTTTTCGTGATGGTTTGTAGCAGTTGAAAATGGGTTTATGGCTGATCTGTAACAGTTAGTATTGATTTGTGATGATCGATTATGGACTGATACATACTGACACAAGTATGATACACACCGATATGTGATGGATACCAGGGAGTTATACCAAAATTGATAATTTTCTGCTATGATCAACTAAAACACCAAAGGTTATTTATACTTTAAAGTTTTAGTTTTTAGTTTATAAATATGAGCTAAACAGGGCTGATATCAATAATTGGGTTGAAATAAACCAAATTGGCAAATACTAGTGCAAATAATAGACAATTATCAGATTTCAAATCCAGTATCAAGGAATGTCAATGGACCTGTTTTGGGTTGGACCCGTCCTAATCAAAATTTACTTGGATGGATTGGACAGACCAATAAGACATATCGAATTGGACCATTCCAGATTTATTGGATTAGATTGGATCTGGTCCATCTGTAATAGATATGGGTCGGATTGAACCAATATCTGATCTATTGATAGAAGATATTGAATTGGACCAGTCCAAAATAATCTAAAGTATTCACCGGATTAAATTGGACCTGGTCCATCTGTAATGGACTCATATTTGACCAGATCGGATTGGACCAAATCCAGTTGAATTGATACCCCTACGAAAATCCACTTTAATTCGATTCAAACCCATCCAAATCCATATGTGATAGATATCTATTAACACTAACAGGGTTGGTTTGAGTGTTGCATTCTACTAAAGAGTGGCATGGCAATTGGGTAGATTAGGTGCAGGGTAAAGAGCAACTTAGCCATGACGACAAAAAAAAAATACCCATTTATTTTTCACATATTTGAGTCTAACCCAGCCCAACCAAACCACTTCAACCCATCTCAATCGGCCATCGCAAATAGGTTGGGTTCTCAAGTAAGTCACTTTGTTCATGATATATTATAATATCAAAGTTATTCTTTTTTTATTGTTAATGATGTATAATTAATATAAGAATTCAATCCAAGCCAATCCAATGTGAATCTAAGAGATAAGGTTCCAGAGTATAGCCCTCCCCAACCCTGAAAAATCCCTGATGAATACGGATTCATTTCCAAGTCTCCAATACAATAACCAGCCAGAGACCTTACCAGAAAGCTAGTTAGTACCTTAAGGTTTCAACAGATAAGGTTCGATGCAATACAAATTCAAGTATTGACATATCAAATTTAGATATAATTTGAATTCGAACCATTTAGCAAATTCTAAGAAAGATGAGGTTCAGTTTGGAAGGAGCTGATCCAATCTCGCAACTGAGGCTCTTATCCATCCACAGAGAAGGATACTACCCTTAGAAGCTTCCCAAAATCCAAAAAATTCTTCACTTGACTTTCAACGATTTCCCGCTCCACACAACCTCTCTTTCTCTTGTGAATCCATCCCAGCCTCCCACACCATGACCTCCTCCGGGTTGGAATTGCCTCTCTCCAAGGGAGGGATAAGCGGCCCATCTCCGCTAAACTTAGGCCTGGGTGAAGATTCAAGGCAAGTAAAGAAGCCATTCGCTGCTGTTTGTGGAGGGTTCTTAATTCCCTCCAAACTTTGCCAAACTGAGCTGAGAGGGATGACTGCGTACGGAGAGTATGGCGCCATGGGCTTTACCAATGAAGCGGCCAAATCCAGCCCATCATTAACTTGACTTTCGGTCGAGTTAATGTAGAGATCTACCCACGCCCCAACTCGAAAAAACATTCGCTCCCGCCCACCCTCCTACGAAGAGCGGGAATCTCTGAAATTTTGAAACACCCACCAAACGCTGGGATACGAAGAACGACGTCTCTAGCTTCTCCAGTGACTGGTCCTCCATTGAAACCATCTCCATCGTCGATCCTGTCGAAGTCTGCATTGCAACATCCTTCTTTCCTTCCTCTACAAAGAGACTCTGATAATCGATCCCTGCAACAGTGTCCCCCGGCGCCGACAGCCCCTACAAAACTTTCACTATCTCTTCTCTTTCCCTTGTCAGCGGTGGTTGACGAGGCTTCCTTCTTTTCCTTCGTTTGCGGTGCGCACTCATGGGAAAGCTCGCAGAACCAAGTCCCAATGAAAACCCACCCCTCTCTCTCTCTGCTTGCAATCCGGTTTATTGAATAGAGGCGGAGCAGTCGACCTAAGGTTCAACTCCCCTTTTTTGCTTACCATGGTTAAGCTAAACACTGGGGGCTCCAGGTCTTCAACGGCAACCCTCAACAGGTACCTGATACCTTCCACTTCCAACTCAACCCACTTGGGAATTTCGCGGGCCATCCTACTCCAAACGAGAAGACGAAGGGCCTCGAGGTTTCTCCAGGCTAGATTATCCAGATCCAAAGCAATGAAGCCACCCAATACCAAACAGAGAGGGGAACGCCAAATACCCTRATCCACCACTTACCGTAACCTCCTCTCTACCTTTCAGAACACCCTTCTTGAATCCAGCGAGATAAGGTGAACTTCATACAGTTGAAGGTTTGAGCGCGGGAGTAAAAAGCACCGCAAGCTTCTTCTTTGGAAGCAAAAATTAGAAGCCATTTACTCCCCCAAGCCTTCGCACAGGTGGATTATACCTGTTCATGACACAGCCATACACATGATGACTTAGAATTGATTAGCCAATTGGTATAGAGCACAATAGAGTTTTCTTTGATTACATAAATTTAATGTCTTATTTAATGAATGAAAACAAGTAGCCTGGTCCTTGTGCAGTCCATACCCGAGTTCGGATTTCATCACATTAAAATAATCTGACAAGATTATTATAAATAGAGTGGAGCCAGTTTAATTATAAATACAGATCATCACCCAATAACATTAGGGAGCTTGCACATCTGCTAGGATTGTGATCACAGCATTACCATGCAATCTCCCAATGAAACATGAGCATGCCAGCAATGAAAATAAGAAAGTCATTTACACGATATTTTCAAATTATTTATTTCACTAGTTTGCACGTAACATTGAGAAAAAAATACGAAGGTATAGATTATTTTTGCAAAAACTAATTTTTTATTAATTATTAAAGTTGACTTGATTGGTATACACTTGTTAAAGAGTCATGCACGACCAAGAAATTATTTTCAAGTCATTTATATCGAAGTTATTTTAATTTTTTGTCAGTA